GCCATGTTTTTTAATATGTGCATCTGATAACACATGCATGAAAGCAAACACGCTGACAGTCAATTTTTGGACTGACAATTTAAATTACCAGTTAATTAAAAACATCTAAGAAAATGTGAGAAATACACATTGACAGATGGATTTTAAACTAGAAGAACCTGCCACCAAAATGTTTCAGTCTTCTATCAGCACTGATGTCATTAACTTCATATAATTCTCAATTTAGCTAAATGCTGCATTTGAAATAGTGTCAAAACAAAATCAAATCAGCATTTATAATAGAAACAATAAACTATTTGGTGATATATTGTTTACAAATGCAAGAAAAGCACGGGAAATAGTAAATGTCTTTTTTTTTACTGAAGTCATTTTACTGCAAAAATACAAACACAAGATCATTTTCTATTATACATGAAACAGCAGATCGTGCTGGGGTGGGGTGTATTCAGAAAACTACTCCATTTCCTTTTCAGGTAAGTGTCACCACTTGAAGAAAACATATTTCATAGGTAGCATACCATTTATTATTTAGAAGTAGCCCTTGTGAGCCTGTTGAACCTGTTGATATTGAAGGTCAAAAATCAAGTTCTAATAGGTGCAAGACGCCGAGTGTTCATGGAGGGCCACTAATGGCTGATTGCAGCTGCTTTCTCAAGTGGGACCCAGGTGGAGTAACACCTTACCAATTTTCTGTGATGATGCTCTACATTTCACAGAGGACAAACAAAACAGGATAAAAGCTTCTGTGTATTTTAGGGGTTCGGCTCAGCAAAATATTCAAGCAAGAAAGCTGAAAATAAAAATGGATATAGGAGAAAAATGCAGCTAATTTTGTGCATTAAAAGTAATTTAATAACAATTTAATTTGGAGACATGATAGCATAAAAACAATACACACAGGTAAATTATTCACTCACTGTGCTTCAAAGATTGTTACTTCATTGTGCACCATGTTGCAGCATAATAGCAAAGACAACCTGAGAAGGAAAAGGAAAGCAGGTCTGTTCAGTTCAGTTGTGCTTTTTCATGTGCTATAGTCTAAGCTCCTTTGATGCTGCATTGGCTTTAGGATCCAGGACACTGTGTAGTGCTCCTTCCAGATTTACAAACAGTGCACCCTTAATCTGTATAAAGATCCACACTGACTTGTTGACCAGAGATTACTGCTCACAAAAACACAAAAATATTGTCTCATCCATAAAAATAAACATCCACTGGATATTGTTTTTGAATTCATGACATCACGTGAACGCATATGGGATTTCTGGATGGCAGGACAGGGGATCAGTATAGGGGACAGGGTTGGATAATAAAAACAGAAAAAGCTCGGTGAGTTCTTTTCAGGTTTGGGAGGCTAATTATTCTGAGCAGCCTAATGAACAGCATAGACCTAATTGTCTGACTGCTGGCATGCTGGGGAAGTAAAAATGAACCAAAGCTGTAGGACTACACCAGAGTTTGGTCCGGTTGTGGCCGTAATTGACACGGTGTCAAAGGTATTAGGCATGGCACTCAGCCAAATAGCCCTCCACTTATGCGCAACCAAGTGCTTGACTTGATCTTTTATATTAAAGTTTGGATTAGCAAAAAAAAACGATGTTGCCAATTTACTGTATTTAGTTCTGTGCATTACAACATCCAAACATTGTTTTCACTTATTCATATACACGGTAGACGAATTAAAAGGAAAACCAACATTTAAGTGTCTCCGTGTGCCACAAGAGCAGCTACAAGTCTCTGGACTCTACTGAAGGTACGGGCACCGTTCTTCCAAAAGATATTCCCTCGTTTGGTGTTTTGATGATGGTGGTGGAGAGCTCTCGTTAATGCTTTGTGTATCATTAAACAGACAAAAGAGAGATGCGGCGATGCAGACATGACAACTATGTCCGGAGCAATACCCAACTGCTCCATTGTGCGCCTTGAAAGACAAACACGTGCACCACAACATAGATAAGCAGAAAGAAGGTCGGGCAATAGTGTGTGTTTGGGCGTGTGTCTGTGTGAGAGAGCAAAAGAGAGAGAGAGAGAGAGGGAGAGACCTTAACGATAGCTGGGGGTAGTCTACACGCCCCCAGCCTGCTTAGAGGAACTCCCCCCTTCAGCACCCTGGACAGAGACAGCGCTGACCGCCGGGCACCTTTAGTTAAAGTAAAGTCGCAGGCTGCTGGACTCATAGTCAGGTCAGCTGACGCTACACATGGTCAGACACTTTCCCACTGCCACCCGGTCCTCGTCCCCACCTCATCTCGAGCTTATCAACGGAATCAAAGAGCAACTTAATGAATATTCAGAGTTTCCGTCTTCGGTGGCTGAAGACAGGAGAAAGGTCGACGGAGGTTCTTTTTAACATTTTTCAGAATTCATCCTGCCTTCGAACAGAGCTCTGCTCACTCTTGATAGGATACAGCTCCAGGAAAGTGTGGGTTTGAACCCATCGTCCAAACTCTGTAACTTGTTAGTTGTTCTCTTTTATCACTGGCTTGTCTTTCGATTTTTTCCCCTTTTTCTCCCATTGGAAAGTCGTAACAGCTTCAAAATGTTGCTTGAACACCCGGGGTCAAGCTGTCAAAACACCGGAAATTTCTCCCGGTACAGTTCAGGCCAAGGTAAGAGCGCAGTTGTACTAATTTCACTGTAATTGTGCATTTAAAATTTGGGTGATGTCTTGTTGAAAGTTAGGCTACTTAGGCGTAAAATAGAGGATAATAGTTCTACCCTACTGTAGGTTAGCACAGCAGCACGGAAGTTGGGTGAATGCTTTAAAGTGGTATATAAGCACACTTTTACAACTGGATGCAGACTTTTCAAAGAATACTCTGTGTTGAAAAAATGTCAAATTGGGCATATTTGAAAAGGTGAGTTGCAGAAAACATTGTATTGTTCATGTTGATGCAGGCTGTTTAAAGGCGCTTCTTCTGCGCTGCGTGTGGGAGACGTTATGAATCCGTAATGAGCCTTCATTGTTGGAGAATCACAAGAACAGATGTTATGCGCGTGCTGTCACTTCACGCCGCTGCATGCGGTTGTCACGGGAGCGCAGCTGACCCACTGCGGCGACAGCAGCCTCTCTGCGGCAGTACGACAGACTGCCAGCAGGTGCGGGGCAGCTCCCAGTCGAAGTCCTGCAACACGAAATGATCAACAGGTGTCACATTCCTGCCCTGACAGGTGGAACACCTGAGGTTGTCAGTAAAGGTGCTGGTAGAGTCTGAAATAATGAACCCAAGCTTTCCATTAAAAGCCAAATTACTGATTTGTACAAATGTGGCAGCAGAGAAGGGAAACTGCACGTTTACTTTGGCGTGTTTCTGTGTCACTGGTAGGCCTAAAGCGACTTTCTGTGTATATCTAAAGCAGTGGTCACGTAACACAAAACTACATTTTAATTCAACTTTAAATAAATGGTGGGCGGGGGATAACGGAGAATAATAATTAGAAAACAATATTTTAAACGAAATTGCAAATTCAAGATGACGCAACCAATGTTTTAACGAAAAACGTGACATTATTTGATCATCGTGGCGACTGACCACTGCTCTGATGGCCATTTTATCTCTTTCTTGTCCCATTATAGTCGGGCTCACCCCCTAAAAAGTGAGCCATCAATATCTCATAAAAATTATTACAAAGCTGAAAAGTAAGAGGAGCACCCATGAACCCCACGGCTTTCTCCAAAACGTCTTATATAGACTTCTGAAATACAGGCAAATAGGCAATTGATTTTAGATTCATCAGTGGCCCGGGGCGCCTGTGGCACTACCTGTGATTTCCCCAGGCGCTCTTTTGTGCCAAAGATCAGTGTCAATAAAATTCACTGGGGTGTTGGCCCGATCAGAGTCTTATTGAACAGCCAATCTCTCTCCTAAATAAACACTTGTCTTTGAGTGCTCAACATACATGGGGTGAATATTGTGTGTGTTTGTGTGAAAGGTATTTAAAATCACAAAGTCTACGGGAACACGTTGCTCTAGATGTAACTATATTAAATCTAAAAATGCTTTTTTTGTTAATAGCCTACTATTACTACCACCAATAATAATAATAATAAGAAGAAATATTTATTTTTAAAAACCCCAGCCAACCAACGACCTAAACAAGATATTGTGTTCTCTCAGCTTTACGCATGGCAGATCTTAGTCTTAGATATAATAATGAATCAACAGAAAACCTGCGTTCAGTTTTCTAGATGTTTTGGCAGTGTAGAACAATTTTTGTTGTTCCTATTGTTACACCAGTTCAGTTTCCACACTGGGAACATTAATGCCTTCTCTAACTCAAGGCAATTTTACTTCCTTCTAGGTAAAAACCATATGGAAGCTGTTGCTATAATTAGCTGCACAATATTTGATATATATTTTTTAAAATTATTCTGCTTTTATTTTATTTATGTATGTATTTTAGCATGACACGACCCTCGTAAGAGAATGGGCATGTCTGTACTTTCTTCCTTTTTTGTTAACAGGTCAACAAAGACAGTTCACATCATATAGTTCCATGTAATGGTGAGATATGAGAATCGATCAAGAGTAAACTACACTGTGAAGTCATTTCAGGGCTGGACAAAAGTAGATTTGATATTAATTCGACTTAAGACTCTATGCTTAAAGGGAGGTAAAGAAAATGGAAAATCTTTTCTCGCTGTCTTCTCGCTACGGTTATCATCTAACACTGAACCTCTGTTGGTTTTCCATCTCGCCTCTTGTTTATTCTTCTTCCGGGTAAGGGAAGCAGTATGTGATGTTAATCTATCTCCTCGTCGTCCAGGAAACGACGCAGCGTAATCCTGCAAGGCTTTAACACAGTGAAGCATAAAAGCAAACTCCACCGCCCACTCACCGCGCGCTTGTGCGCTCTTTGGGGACTCGTGCTACACACATTTTGACAACAAATGTCGGGTGTATGAATGTGGACATATTGGAAGCAAGACTGGTTTCCATTAATGTGCATCATGAGCAATGGATGGACATGGTGAGCGCAACTCTCCAAAAGAGGCACCAGATAACACGGAGATGCTCCTTGCTTTGCTGTCGCACAGTGAGGAGCTACGGAAAGGTAACCGCAAGCCGTAATGTAATCACTGTATCCGTTAGTGGCACTGTCCATATTACACATATAAGTGTGGGTGGCATGTGGTCCTGCATACTGGGCGTCTATGAAAAGGCCTTTAAGTGTCACCACACTAACTGCTTTCTGTTGATTATCTTTCCACTACGTTCAATAGGCCCAAGTGTATACGTAGGCTATATGGATTATGGATGCTACAGCTGTGCAGTGGCTTAAATTTTGGGAACTGGTCCTGTCATGTGGATCCGTTTTACAACAGTTGAACAAAGAGGACAGGTGCCATTTTAGTTGCTTCATATCTCTGCAAAGCAACTTTTACGCATCAAACGTTAATATGTGATTTATCTGAATGGTCGCTCTGATTTCGATATATTGAATCATTTCGTGCACTGGTGTGGAGGGAAACAGGCTTAATTCAGTGTGGACATTGGTTTTACGCATTTTGCAACCCGACATAAGTCTTAAATGTAGAGTCAGGAGGCTGTACATGTTCTTTACCTATTAACTTTTGTAATTGATTGGTTTATGATCACTACAGTCATGCTTCCACTTTTTTCCTTATCGATACACGATTATGACTTATACCAAAGTTAAATATTGTGAAGTCAAGATATTTCGATTGGATTTTGCAGGCATCTATCATTTTTATTTTCCAAGCGGGCTCTATATGGTGAAGAAATTGCTTCATTAGCTCACAGGTTCGTACCGAGAGACTATAGGCAGCAGCAGCTTTCTAGTTTTACAGATCGCATTGAATTAATAATGACCTGGATACACCTGTTCTTGACGTGGCTCCCAACGCACTTGTGCAAGGCATGCTGGTGCTGCCAGAAGAAATGATTCGTTAATATTTGATGAATTGTCCACAAAGGAACAATAGCAATGCGATTCCCTGCACGGATGGAATATGAAGTGGTTGAGCTTCTCTTAATTAGTAATAAAGAAGCCCGATAACCTACTTACGTGGCATTGCAGTTGTCCTTATTTTTACCTTGGTTTTGTCAGGTTACTGTAGGCCAGTTCTATCTGCAATTGATCATACAAATAATAGTCAGCCGGTCACTGTGCCGATGAGCTGGTGGTGTACACCTCTTTGAGAGATTTGAAACGCTTCTAATGATTAGATTATTGTGCTGCTGCTGCTGTTGTTTTTAATAATTCTGCAAAAAGTAACTCATTACATTTAAAAATGCCACTTGTTTAATTATCTCTTCATCAGTGTGATATTATTAACCTATGTAGAATATATGCGTCTCATTTCGAGCGCACGAAGCCAGAAGGACGAGGACTGTGTCCGAAATGTAAAATGTAAAATAAAACCACTTATTATTTCTATATATTTCAGGTTTGCTGTGACTTGTTGGATATTTTGGATGTTTTTTTTCTAGATAACATAAGGCTAAGGCCGAATCTAAGATGGATATCGTAATCATCAGGCGCTTGACGAAATCTTTTGGTATGTAAGTCCGTGCCACAAAACATGGGAACTAAGGGAAAGGAGCTGAGATGTGGATAGTCGCTGTTACAAATTGGATAATCGTATAATGCGGACCAAAGTTTAAAAGGAGGGAAACCACCCTCCCGTTCTTCTCTTTTTTCTAATAATGATCAAACTCTCCAATAGGTCCACGTTGGCGCACGCTTCTCTCTATCACTCAGGAACATAATCATTATATTTCTTTCTTTCTTTAAACAAAACCAGTGGTGGCAATGATGATGATGATGATGATGATGATGATGATGACAGCAGAAGTGATGCTGGCAGGGGAACGTCACACGATGGTGGCGAAGATGTTTTAAAAGGTGTGATTTAAAAAAAAACAAACCTAAGTCAGTATCAGGCCGCTGTCATGTTAAAACTGATCTGTGATTTTATACAATTATTTTAAAAATCAAATCACCAAACAGTTTATTCAAAATGTAGCTTATATAAAGAGGAACAAAGAAAGAAAATACAACAAAAACAAATAATCTGAGAAACATAAATCAGTTATTGCATTAATTTCATATTTATGCTGCTCGTATTTATTTCAGTTGAAAATGTGCTGTCTTATTTGCATAATTAAGCCGGTGTAACCATCAACAGTTAATTATTTAATGTGTGGTATGTGCAGCCTATATATAGCCTAGTAAACACGAAAAGCAGATCAAGTTGTCACTGAGAATTTGTGACATTGCATATTAACGTGTGCATAATGAATAAACTTAAACGTCGCCGTGATTCCATCATGTCTCCTGCAGAAATCCCGGTATGCGCAGGCTGCAATCAACACATCGTAGACCGCTTTATCCTCAAAGTGCTGGATCGTCACTGGCACAGCAAGTGCCTGAAATGCAGCGACTGCCAGGCCCAGCTGGCGGACAAGTGCTTTAGCAGAGGCGAAAGCGTCTACTGCAAAGAGGATTTCTTCAAGTGAGTAGCTTTTACCAAAATACCTCAAGGCTATTTTAAACATTTTAATAATCTTTTTTAAGGATTAAATATTCCTGTTGCTTAAAATCACGTTTTACCCTACGACGATGTTTGTTATAAGTTATGATATATTCATGGGAACCTTCTAATTTTCCAAAAGGAGATTCGGGACCAAATGCGCAGCCTGTCAGCAGGGGATACCGCCCACACAGGTGGTGAGGAGAGCGCAGGACTTCGTCTACCACCTGCACTGCTTTGCCTGCATCGTGTGCAAGAGGCAGCTGGCCACAGGTGACGAGTACTATCTGATGGAGGACAGCAGGCTGGTCTGTAAGGCCGACTACGAGACCGCCAAACAGAGAGGTGAGCTGCGACCGATGTAAATGACTGAATGAGGCTCTGCCAATGATCTCGTCGAGCTACACGGTGCTCTACATGTGGTCCTTAACCGCCTGCTGTGGGTGTGACGTGTCGGTGAGGTCTCGCGTAAACTTTGACCCACCTGTGTTAATTGCATCGTTACCCGCAACCCAATCGATAACAAACTGCATAGACTCCCAGAGGCGCACACATGCACTGTGCGTTTGAAGAAATCAGCTTTCAATAACTCTTATTATTGTGCGTGCCGACACACACACACACACACACACGAATGGGGTCGGGTTGAGGGGCCACTAACCCATGTGGATGCAAAAAGAACTGGGTCGTTACAATAATTATTGATTATTCACATCAAAGCTGAAGAACTGTTCATCTATACTGATTATATAGAAATATCTTAAATGAAAAATGGAGTTCAATACAAAGGTTGAAATGTGTATTAACAGTAAAGGAACATTTTGGTAGCTTACCTACTTTTATTTAGGCTGTAGCAATAATTAAGTCTGAACGTAAAGATGTATATTTTTTATGTTATGTTTGACTCAAAAACAGTTTCCCTTGATTTTTCATTATTATAATTTTAACAAACAGGGCTGTGAGACAGAGAGAGAGAGACTGGTCAGTCACACACCTGAAAATGAATCAAAACCTCAGGCTGGATGGGCAATGAATGTTTTTCCTTATCCAAAATGAATTGTAGTGTTGTTCTATCTAATTGTTCAAGCCATAGGTCTATTTGTTAATGGGATCATACAGCAAATAAAAAGATAGAGATCATTTCTTAGAGGAGCAATATTTTAATTATAATACAATTTGAAAAAGTTCAATTATCAAAAACAATTCAAGAACATAGTGTACTATAGTATACTCAGATTTAGTAATTTGGTAAAATAATAATAATAATAATAATACACTTTATTTCTAAAAGAAAAAGGCTTTTGTACTTTTACAAGTACACTATGAATATTGTTATAGATACACAATTTATTGGCTGGTTGATGTGAATTGCTCTGAGATTGTTGATTTGTTTTTAAAATACTTTTTGGTTTGTAATGAAATACCGTCACCCCAAAACATTTTCATTAAATACCTTGAAAACCCAGCAGGCTTTGTCCATGATAGGGCAAACAGGGTCTGGTCAAGTGTTAATTTATTCAACAAGTTCACACAGGTTTTCACAAAATAACACACGTTTGTTTTACTGATTAGAGGGTGCAATTACTGAGCAGCGTTCCATATTGCACCATTTGCATGATGGTTTTGTATTTTGTTGTTGACATGACGCAATGATGCACAGGACGCAAGGTTGTGGTTTATAGGCAAAAGGGAATTTATACATTTATGTTAAATTAGAAAGCTGTTTTATGTTTTGTTTATAGATAGATAGATAGATAGGGAACAGATCATCAGATTTCTGTTCTTCATTGGCTTATATAGTGCATTGTTCACAAATTTTTCAGAAGCAGACTCAACTGCAAAAAGGCCACGAACAACCATCACTGCTAAACAGCTGGAAACGCTGAAGAACGCTTACAATAACTCTCCCAAACCTGCCCGCCATGTCCGAGAGCAGCTATCCTCAGAGACAGGTCTGGATATGCGGGTTGTGCAGGTAAAGTATATTATTATCCATTAAGGGCTATTCCATTAGTGTCCTGACTTCATTATTAAGGGGCAATTGTGGCTGAACTGGCACAAGCCTTCGGTATGAACAAGTGTGTGTGCGTGTTGTGGGGTAATTTATGGCCAGATGGAGTAAAATGAAGTCAACATGAAAGTCATCATGGTTTTAGTGCAAGCTCATTAACAATTCTAAGAGGTCCCCTTGCATATTGTCTGCTGCTGAGGAGCCCCACGCTGGTTGCTTGGTGGCAGTCATATATATTGTTTTTATTTGCAAGGACAAAAGTGGAAGCCACTAAAATGCTCCTCATTATTCAGTGAAAGGGAAGAGGTGAAGAGGGTTCACTTAAGGTGAAATATCATTAAGGAGAATGTAAAACTGCTGCTTTTTGTGCTTGTGAGTGAAATGTATTAATTTTGTGTGCTAGATAAGGTGAAGAAGCATTTGCTCATTTTGTATCAGATATCACAAACATTTACAAGAAGTGAGATAGTTTAAATTTAGAACACACGCTGCATTTGTATTGCATGGTTTATAGATCAGACCCATAATAGAAATAGAGCATTTTGAATCATTTAAGTCAATGACACATTAACTTGTCTGCTCCCTGGGGTGAGGACAACTTGTAGCTGTTGTGTAGTTAATTAAATGTGTGATAAATCCAGTGAAGGGGACACCGGTCCCTGAATTACTGTTCAGTCGCCCACTTGGACCCATAGAAGCATGAAGTGGTGTCCAGACAGTCCTTGAAAAGTTGTTTTGGTTTAATACTTAAAAGCATAATAAGTGCATCAAGATGACTACAAAATATTTTAGGCTATTTGTAGAGTTATGTGTGGTCCTCAAGACTAAGAGGATTATGTTAATTATAAGCAAATAAATGCAAATTCAGTTTTGTTACAAAACATTCGTTTTATTTTGCTGCAACTGTCTTAAAGGTAGTTAGTGTCTAATTTTTCAAAATAAAAACTTTAATATATATCCGAATATATCAAAAATAACTATTTTATTATATTGTATACTCTGGTGTAATTTGTCTAATTGACATTTTAGACCTGTTTCTAAATATGTAATTCATTACCAAAAGGAATCTTGTACTCCAGGTTTGGTTTCAGAACAGACGAGCTAAAGAGAAAAGGCTGAAGAAAGATGCTGGACGGCAGAGGTGGGGCCAGTACTTCCGCAACATCAAGAGGTCAAGAGGAAGCTCCAAATCTGATAAGGACAGCATCCAGGAGGAAGGCATGGACAGTGATGCAGAGGTGTCCTTCACAGGTATAGTCAGCTGCACAGAATGGACAAAACAGTGTGACTGTATTCCATTTAGATGTGTCAGTCCTCTGCATGTAGCCTCATTGTCCTGGCTGTGTTATGTAGTCCTTGGAATCACATTCATTTCATTTAACAAAGAATTAATGAAGATGGGAAACGTGTAAAGCGAGACAACAAGTTCATAAAGAGCATTGAACAGTGTGATGTATTTGTATCATTGTCTCCTGTCAACAGCCTGAAGATCAGGTCTCTTTTGAGGAGCATTTTATAATTTGACAGAGAAAGTTTGTTATTCAGTGGTACAAATCATCATGTCAAAATTCATCAACTTGATGTGAGAAATTTACAGTGATAAAAGTAGAGACAAGAAATCCATTTAACTGAACTGACTTTGATGCAATTTGCTATTCTAATTAGTGACATGGTGGCTGGAGTAAAAGAAATATACAAGAAATGAATCTTGTTCATTGTAGAAAAAATGTCCTTGTCACCTTAATCTCCTTGTCCTTGTTGCACAGATGAACCACCCATGTCAGAGCTTGGCCATAGTAACGGTATCTACAGCAACCTGAGTGAGTCCTCTCCAGCCATGGGGGGCCGCCAAGGGGGCAGCAATCACAGCTCCTTTCCCCTGGAACACGGAGTCCTCCCCTCTCAAGAACAGTTCCATGAAATACGCTCCAACAGCCCCTATGGCCTTCCTCAGTCACCAGGGTCACTTCAGGCGCTACCCAGACACCAGCCTCTCATCTCCAGCCTGGTCTACCCTGACTCTGGTCTTTCTATCATGGGCCAGGGCAGTGGCCCCCGCGGGGGAGGGCGTCGAGGGGCCCAGCCAATGGCCCCAGCCCGGACCTCTCCACGGGCAGCAGTGGAGGATACCCTGATTTTCCTGCCAGTCCTGCCTCCTGGTTAGATGAAGTGGACCACGGGCAGTTTTGATTAGTCGATAACAAGAAATTGGACCTTTTTTTTTTGTTTTCAGTGACTTCTTCTGGATTTTGGGAACTGGACAGTGATTGTGCAAAGGACTCTACTGCTGTCCTTGGATCTCACCAATATCTGATTAACAAGTCAACTGAGTATCTGTGATCTAGATGGAAGGAAGGAGGAAAATATCCTCTATTAAAAGCACTTGACCTCATAATTGTCCTTCACTTATAAAACAGTATGTTCAGTTTTCAGATACTGTACCACTATAAACTTTTTCTCAACAATACAGAAACCCAGAAAGTTTAGACTTTGATCATTCAGATTTTCACAAACTCCTGCTTCTGTTCTCATCCCCTCCCTTTGTTTTCTACAATGTGTTCAGGTGCAGAATTCAGTTCAATGTTCTGAGTCTCTAAATGTCTAGTTGTTGCCAAATATCTATATCTATATATATATATATATCATTGTGGAGACTTTATTTTTATACAAACCCCTTCTTGGACATGAATAAGTACCCAGATATGAGGACTTTGTATATTCTTTAAACAGGGATATGTAGGCAAAAATGTGGATGTTGTCTTAAATGGTACCTCGGGGTCCAATTACGTCTATGCATTTGTGTGTTGTCAGTTGTATCCTATTTGTTTTGTTCTACTGAAAACAACCCTGAGGAAGAACTGCAGTAGCACTCGGGGTCTGATGTATATGTTTGTTTATGTGGAAAATGTTTTATGTCTTATTTATTCCTTCTGGTAATGATGATGATGATGATTCCTGATTAAATGACAGGACTTTAATAAATTTGTCACGTAAGTCAAGACTGAGTTATATCCTTTTTGGCTGGACTACAAAACTGTGCATCATGTAATGTAAAATAAGTAATGAGAGAGCTTCAAAATGATTGTGTGTCGTAAGAAACATCAGCTAGTGAGCCATATATGACCACAATATACCACAATAATCATCCTTTATGTTTATCTTTTATCTTACATGCAGCATCTATTCTATACATTTATCTATGGCATATTGCAGCACTGTTAGTGAAACCAGAGCAGTTCTAATTGTTTCTGCAAATAGAGTCTCTGGCTAACTATCAACACCGTATCAGGGGTTGAACAGCTCTTTAGTGGAGAAATTTGATGCAGACACAGAGTCAGCTCATCAATTCAGAGATTACCGGGTCCTGTTTGCTCAGTTGGCCTATATGGGAAAAGGAATCTCCAATCCATTAGCTGAGAAGGGATCAAGTGCCCCTTGTGAATTTCCTCATTTGTTTAGCTATTCAAAGTCAGGTTCAATTAAATAGATTAAATAGTATATGGGTGAGTTAGTGTGTGCATGTGAGAGTATGTGCCTACAATTGCAATGTATTGTTTATGTATTTGTTTGTCAAATGGCTTGTGATACAGTATGTGAACACCCATGTGTGGTTGCAGGCAACTATTAAGCGATACCCATTGAAATGATTAGGAAGATGTGTTCAAACGTTTGGATGAGTGTCTTTCTGCTGTGCAGATTTGTGAACATATGTGTGCAGCTTTTGTTTTGGAACACTACCTCCAACTTCCTCCACGATTAAAGTGCCCCCCCCCCCCCCCCCAAACTCTGCTCCTCAAGTTCCCTGAACAAGAAAAGGAACACCGCACAGGATATTCAGCTGAATCCTTCCAGCTGAGTGGCAGGTTTCACTGTTACCTCGCAGGTGTGTAATCTGACCCAGTGAGTGTTTGGCAAAGACAGCAACAGGGTGAGAGTGAAGTGTTAAAGGTGGTGTTAATCTCCTATGGTACCCGCCTTTGTCAGTTTACTGGGCTGCCTGTATATGGGGATGGACAACCTGATTTGTTGCAGACTCAGAGGAAACAGGCAGTACTGTGCTTAAGAGTCCTATCCTTTAATTGTGGTTCTGTTTAACTCAGTGAAGACAGCACGGAGGAAGGCTCACCGGAGTCTAGCAACAGGCTACCTAAACTAAAAGAACTTGACCACATGGCATTGTGGTCAAAGTATTTCTCAACCTCTCTGCTTTCAGACTGCTCTCTCACATGGCAGGTGTGAGATTTTGGTGCCCATGAGGTGAACTCTTCTAAGTAAATAACTGGGATTATCCCACTGCACTCTTTCAGATTGAGTTGGAAATCCACCTTTTTCTGAGTAAAGAATTAGATTAGGTTGCGTATGCAATTTGACAAATGGGTTGTATAAGACTTGCAGAAGGTGAGAAAATGAATCAGTGGGGTGTTAACAGCAGCGATATAAATGCATTTAGCTTCATGTGGGAAAATAGAGGCTGGGGGCACGAGTGAAAGCATAGCTGGTAATTGAAATATATTTATTTGGCAGACATGTTTGCTTCACTATATTAACACTCTTTATGTGAAGCTGCTGAGAGATGCAAGATACAGTGTAATCAATTACTTTATTACACAAATGTCTGCACAGAAAGCATAAAAATAAACATGACCTCACTTTAAGTGGAAATAGTAATGAAGACCATTTAAAGGGATAGTGCAACATGTCAGAAATGTTTTGTTGTTTTTATGCCGAGGGTTAGATGATACCACTCTCGCATGTGTTGTGTTTTGCGTGAAGATACAACTACAAGACACGTTAGCTTAACTTAAAGACTAGAAACACATGGACTAGCCAGCAAAATTTGCCTTATTGCTCATAGGCATGTAACATATTGCGTCTATGTTTTCCGTGATTCATACAAAACAAAAGTGTAAAAACATCAACTTGTATAGAAAAGAGAGGCCAAAAACAATTTTTTTCTATAGGAGGGTGATGAATGAATATGCTTTAAGGAGGCTAAAAGAGGATTTTATGGGGCAAAACTGGGAACCAGTTTACAGAGAGGAAGACTTAGATAATGCATATGAGAAATTTTTAAACATATTTAAGATTGTATATGACAGGAACTGTCCTCGTAAGCAGTATAAAAATAAAAAGAATTACAGTGAGAGACCGTGGATTAGCAAGGGTTTACAGAATGCATGTAAAAAGAATATTGTGTTGAATTCATAAAGTACAGATCAAAGAAGGCGGAAGAAAAATATAAGACATATAAGAACAAATTAACTGAGATTTTGAGAAGATGTAAGAAACTATATTACTCTAAAATATTAGAGGATAATAAAAATAACATTAGAGGTACTTGGAATATATTAAATAAATTGATCAGAAACAGTTCTAGAAGGTGTAACTACCCACAATATTTTATGGATAATGATACACAGGTTAATAAATTGGAGGATGTAGTTGAAAAGTTTAACAGGTTCTTTGTGAACGTTGGTCCTAGTTTAGCAGGAGGCATTTGTACAGATGATACATCCGTCATTATAAATAATAATACAATCGAAAGGAACATGAGTTCAATGTTTTTGAAGCCCATAGCTGAAGAGGAAATTATAGAGATAGTGAATAAATGTGGTAACAAAACATCTAGTGATAGTGATGGTATCACAATGACAACTGTCAAGTGGGTAATTGAGGGGATATGTAAACCATTAACCCATATTTTTAATATGTCGTTTCGACTTGGGCAGTTCCCCAATAATATGAAAATAGCAAAGGTTATTCCACTGTATAAATCTGGTGATAAACACAACCTCACAAACTATAGACCGATTTCTCTGTTGTCACAATTTTCAAAAATTCTGGAAAAACTCTTTAATAACAGACTAGACACATTTATTGATAAACATAATATCTTATCTGATTGTCAATATGGTTTTAGGTCGAAAAGATCAACATCCTTGGCCATTACTGACCTGATGGAGGACATTACAAGTGCTATGGATGAGAAAAAATATACGATGGGGATTTTTATTGACCTAAAAAAAGCTTTTGATACAGTTAATCATGAACTATTAATGGATAAGTTGGAGAAATATGGGATCAGAGGATTGGTTGGGAAATGGATCAGAAGTTATTTGACACAGAGGCGTCAATTTGTGAGGTTGGGTGAATATCAATCAAGTGAGCTGAACATTGTGTGTGGAGTGCCTCAGGGTTCTGTGTTGGGACCTAAACTATTTATATTATACATCAATGATATATGTAAGGTTTCTGAAACTGTTAAAATGGTTTTGTTTGCTGATGATACTACCATTTGGGCATCAGATGAAAACTTACAGCAACTCTCTGTAAGGGTTTCAGAGGAATTTGGGAAGATAAAGAAATGGTGTGATAATAATTTACTATCTTTGAATTTGGAGAAAACTAAATATATGGTATTTGGGAACCGTAGACCACATAATGAACTTCAATTGAGAATTGGGGGTGCCAACATTGAACGAGTATATGAAATTAAATTTCTGGGGGTAATGGTTGATGACAGATTATCCTGGAAATCTCATATTAGACATGTTCAGCATAAAATAGCTAAAAATATATCGATATTGGCAAGGGTTAGACATATGCTGGACGTCAAAGCATTGCGGATTTTGTATTGTTCATTGATTTTGCCATATTTGGAGTATGGTGTTGAAAACTGGGGAAATACATACAGGAGTTCACTTCAACCATTGTACATATTACAGAAGAGAGCGATAAGAGTTGTGCACAAGATGGGGTATAGGGATCACACAAATGTAGCTTTCATACAGTCTAAATTGTTAAAATTCTTTGATTTAGTGGGCTATAAGACTGCTGTGTTTATGTATAAGGCCAGGAACAATTTATTGCCTGGTGGAATCCAAAAGCTATTTGGTGAAAGGGAAGGGGGGTATAACTTAAGGGGACATTTAAATTTAAAAGTTCATGCTATACGAACAACCAAAAAAAGATTTTGTATTTCTATAAGTGGGGTCAAACTATGGAATAACTTAACTGTGGACATGAAAAATAGTACCAGAATTAAGGAGTTTAAATATAAATATAAATGTATGTGTTATACAAGATATATGCAAGAATAAGAACAATCTGTTTTATTTATGTAGTGATATTGCTTGCAGCCAATGTTGCATAAATTTTGTATAATATGATGTCATGGGGTAGGACTGGATAAGTTTGACTTCTTCCTACTCCATTCAAACATGTAATAGGTGTAAGCAAACTGATTTTGAATTAGCATTGGTTGGATATGTGTAATCATGTGTGTTATTGTCATTTGTTCATTGTTCTGTTCTGTTCTGCATGTTTGAAAGAATAAATCAATCAATCAATCAATCAATCAATTATGTCTTGGCTATGCTAGTTGCCTTTATGCTAAGCTAAGCTAACCATCTCCTAGTTGTAGTTTTACACAAACAGATGCTGAGAAAGGTTTCAATCTTTTCATCGAACTCTTGGCAAGAAAGCAAATATGTATATATTTTCAAAATATTCCTTCAATAACAATAAACTAATTATCAAGGTACTTTTGAAAAACATTGCATTCAATCAGATTTGGTGTAGTATTAAGCAAAACAAGTAAAACGGAATTTGTAAAAATGTCATTTTTACATTTCATTTTTAAATTCCTAACCCAACATTTCAATTTT